AAGCTGAAAGCTGAGTCAAGGAACAAGAAGTGGAAATAGTTGCGCTTTCGCTTTAACATGGTTACTTCCGCATTCTTGTGCCTGCATTCTTCTTTTCAGCCTTTCCGAATTTGATTATTTAAACGAGACGCGTCTTTTACTTTTTGTTATCGCCCGTTCGCTCGCCCAAAGACAAATTGAAGGAAAGTGACACTGTTTCAATAGGTTATTCCGCTGAACGATTATTGGTACCAAAAGAAGCAAAGCATGACTGGCTCATCCGTTTCCATTTGGACGCTCTTCGGCCGGCGATAGAGGTGGTGTGGCGGACAGCCAATGAGCCAGTGCGCGGGAGGAAACAGATCAGGCAATCATGCCGTCCTTATCTTTAGGTTCACACTTTCCTGCCAGCAGAATACCCCTTTTTCTCAATTTGTAGCGTTCGCTTACCAAGGAGGCTGGAGGGAACGGCCCGAGGCGCGGCCGCAGCTCCCGCCGCGAGCAGCACCAAAACCGCTGTCGCTGCCATGGTGTGTCTTAAAGTACGCCTCGAGAGTGGCGGCGCCGGTCTGGAGCTGCCGCGAGTGGGTAAGAGGGAGGGAGGGGGCGAGTCCCGTACACTCACGTCATCCCGAGCAGTTCACACACTTCGACGGACGTCTCGTGGGACTCACCTGTTCATGCCGCAGCTTTACAGGAGCGACTGACTGCTGGGTGGAGGGGAGGGGAGGGGGGAGATCCCCGGGTCCGAGCCGAGTGAGGAAATTCCCAGTCTGCTCATCGAGGTGCACGGGCATTTCTTACTTTACTGGCAGCGCCATTCAAAGAAACCCAAGACGTGGGGGACGCAGAACACGAAATTAATTTTTGTGCCACGGAACAAACATAAAATTAACGCATCTCTTGAGGAGAGATTCGGGCAGACAGTGAGTCTGTAATGCACCTCAGTCACGAAATTGCCAAGTTGAGCCTTGCAAGGTCGACATTTGTAGCGGGACTATCTAGTCCTTTTAATGTTGACAATAAACCATTCAATCAATCAATTCAATCAAGGTCGTCAATCCTAGCGCATTGTACACTCCTCACGTCTAAGGAAGATTCCTATTACTGGCAGCGGACCTGTGTTCAAATCAGGTACAGTGTAGCAATACACATTTAGCAACTAGCTTGATAATATTGTGTACCTGATCACAGTTATGCGGACCGGGTTGCTGGTTGCTGGTTCAAATATTGTACTTGGCGTTAAAGGGTGACATTTTGCCAGTTGTGCATGCAGGTACCACGCGGGCGGCGAGCTTTCATATTTTGTCGTATGATGGTAGGAATCTGAAAACCCGTTCGTTTTTGTCGCCGATTAACGTGTACCTTAAATTTAGTGGGTGACTCCCCCCCCTCCTCCCCAAAAAATGTAGCAGAGTACGCTAAATGTACAGTACTGTTTAATCAGCTAAGGTACAAGGTGCATACTTTGCCCGTCTGCTTTAAAAAAGCAAGAAACATGCAATATGCTGTCCTCAGACCATTGAAAGTGACAACGGAAATTTTGACGAAATGGGTTGGTATATTTTTAGCAGGTATGTGTTTTATTTCTCCTTTACAACTAATGGAAACTGTTTATTGGACCTCAGTAGGTAGGGACAATCCCGTACATTTCCTCTTCTTTCCCCTTCTTCTTCGTATTTTGGAGGTACGGACCGCTCGATAATGAAATAAATCAGTGTCGAAGGTCGTAGTCGTTATCATATAATACGGTACGGAATTTCTAATAGTGCAGTACTGGAACCATTGAATAGCGTTTCTTATGAAGACAAGGGGAACCCGTATGGGAAAAGAGCTAAAAAACTGACCAGCCAACGTGTCCGCAAAGTGGAAAAAAAAAGTATAAAATGTATGCAAAAAGTATAAAAAAGGATGCCGAAAGTACCACCAAAGTGTGGCCGTTTAATCTGCTATGCTGTAAGTGTACCTTATGTATACTCTTTACAAAAGTATTCCAAAAAGTGTCATTTGTCAGTAATATTCTGTAGTATACATGTTATACTGCAGAGGCTTGTTCAGGTTACTTTACTGAAGACATTACATAAAATAATAATGTTTATTAGGCTATTGAACACTGTGAGGTCTTTATTTTGCGGAAAAGAACCAATCTCAAGCGATTGGACGGATGCCAATAGCGGCTTTGAGTTAGTCGTAGACGATTTATCATAGCAGAATTGAGTGCTTGATCGTTGATACGCTCATTAGGACACCAAGGGCAACGCTAAACCCTGTTGCAGTCACTGAAGAGGAGGCGCTTGTCGTGTCGTCGTCATCGGGCCATGGAATGTCGCTCTCATCAGGAATCTTTTTGGTTGCTACAAGGCGCTTGTAGAATTCTGACGACATCTTTGGGGTACGCGGTCTATCCGGGTTTTTGAAGTCCACGTGGAAAAGGCCAAACCTGTTTCTGTAAAGTAAAACCAAAAAAATAAAATAACGAAGAGCTATGAATATTTATGGACAGAAATTCGGGTAACCGTAAGAAGTCCTCGTACGGAAGATTTTATGTTTATGTTTTAGTTATGGTATTTTGTACAGAGTGTGCAGGTGTACAGGTGTACAGAGTAACTAATTACCCAGCAGACAAATATCTCCCTTTTCAGAATCCAAATTGCATATTGCAAGATGTGCACACAAATACGTTTGTACTTGACAAACATTGTCTCTTATAATTACGAGTACGACGGTCGTACTTACGCATAGCCATAGAACCATTCGTAATTGTCCATGAGGCTCCAGGCCGTATACCCAATGACAGCGCAGTTGTCGTGATGGATGGCTCGGAGCACCTCTAGGAGGTAGAGCTGTAAAGTAAGGTTGTACAATGTACACTCTAAATGTAAAAGAACAATTTTGTCCATAACGAGGGAACAGATTTTCAAGTTACAAAATTGTTTCGTTAGAGAGGACAAATTTCAATTTTGTTCTATCCTCATGGACAAGCTTGTTTCCTGTTTCGTGGACAAGACATTTGTCCCAGCGAGTGGACGTTTAAATCCGTCCCCTTTTTCGCAACAAATTTGTTTTCAAGGAGGGGACAATTTGTTCAATGAACATTTTGTCCCTTCCAATGATACAATTTGTCTTTAAAATGACACGTTCTTGTCTGCGGCTATGGACAAACATTTTATTGCTAGTTTAAGGTACAGAAAAAAGTTCCTTTACATTTAGAGTGTAGGTGATTTATGTTGGTTCGATAACCGAGCGGTCGACAATTCGGGTTTGTAGTGTGCACGTGCACAGCCCTTTGTATCACCAAACATTCTGACAACGTTCTAAGAACATTCTTTTGGTTCTCTGAAGGTTCTGTAAACGTCGTTTTAAGAACGATATGTGGTACAAGGGAGGGTACAGACGGAATATACATCGCACTCTAAATCGTTATAGGTACTGCTCAAACGACTAATTTGTTCATATGCAAAGATGCAATTTTGTGTCAAAGTTGACAAAATGAAAAAAAAAATCCAGCTCAAGATAAAATTTTGTCACTACTCACAGGACTCAAAGTTGCATCTTGCGAGGTAAGCAAAATGGCAAAGAGAATGCCAGAAAGTAGGAGTTCACACACTTCGACGGACGTCTCGTGGGACTCACCTGTTCATGCCGCAGCTTTACGGGAGCGACTGACTGCTGGGTGGAGAGGAGGGGGGAGGGGGGAGATCCCCTGGTCCGTCAAAGCCGAGCGAGGAAATTCCCAGTCTGCTCATCGAGGTGCACGGGCATTTCTTACTTTACTGGCAGCGCCATTCAAAGAAACCCAAGACGTGGGTGACGCAGAACACGAAATTAATTTTTGTGCTAAGGAACAAACATAAAATTAACGCATCTCTTGAGGAGAGATTCG